CAATGTCAATTTTGTAGCGAACTATTCAACTACATTATAACCTTCATTTTTTAGTTGTAAATCGTCAGAAGACGGCACGTAAGCTGAAACACGGCTCAGTGATTGCAGATGAAAACATATAACAAACCCAACGAAATCTGTTTTAAGATCAATACAGAAAAGGGAACTACCATAAAAATGTCTTCAAACTTGATGCAACTTGAAGTAGATAGGTTTTACGATTGTATTTTAACCTGTCATAAGCTGCACTACACACAATATACAAAAAGTTGCCAAGAGATGGAAATTACTGTCAGGGAGGCACTCAATTGATAATGAGATCTAACATCTCGCGAGATTGAACCAAATACCATGTGACATGCTAATACTTCACAGAAACCGCTGACGTTGAAACATTAAATGTGCAGAAAATGTATAATTTACAGGCAAAAGTAATTCCATAATGGAACTGCAAGCTTTCACGGACATTAAACATTGTGTTTAGGAACCTTGCTTTAATGAGAAAGCAGACTCCATAATGGGATGTCTGTATAACGAGGATATGATATATATGTAAGAAATAGTCTGCGTCCTAAATTATTGCTAGACGTTCCATTTCCAATGTATTGAAAATGTAGATATATACGGTGTTGAATTCATTCGCTATTCGATTTTAGTGAATGTGCCCTCCCATATGTACGCTATTTATGATAATTGTTTTGTAGAAATGTTGGTGTCGATGTTTGAAAATCTGTTGTTACTGTGGTTTGGGAATATGTTGATAATGTGTTTTGAAGACATATCGATGTAGTGGTTGTGTAGGTGTATCATTGCAGTATCTAGTGTGCAGCTGTTGTGCATTGTATTATGACATGAATCTGAAGTGTTTTGTAGACGGTTTGTTGTTTTGTAGATATGTTCCTATTGTGATTTAGATTTAAGTGGATCATCTGTAGTTACAGATTGTTTCTTCATATTGTTGATTTCGCGTTCATCGTACATATAAGTAATAGATATACAGTAATCAATGAGCCAACTATGCATGTTATAAATAAACATTGACTTCTTACCGAATTCATAAACAGATGCAAAATTAAAGGCATTTTTGTACAGTAACATCTCGTTATACTGCCAGTAACATCTCGTTATACTGCCACGAGTTATCCAGAGAAATTTTAGCGTTATTTGGCGATAAATTGGGAGATGTGCATAAAGGAATTCTTGAGAAAAAACAACAAAAACAAATGGACATTGAAACATGTTTGCGGTAAACAGGGCGGCAAGTGCAACGAGGGGCATTATATTACGGTTTTACTGTAACAGTATTGTAGGTACATTTGGCATTATATGTTACTATGGAGTGATAGCAATCGTTATAAGTGACAGAGAACAGATCAGGTAATAACTGAGTTTTAGGTTTTGAATTTCTGTCAGAATTCTGTCAAAACGAATATTACACAAGTTTGCTTTTACAAACAAGTATCTCTTCTCCTGGATCAACTGCATTCTTTTTCTTTCAATAATTATCATGGGGAAACGTTCTTCCTTAATTGAAGCCGTTGTTGAATTAACGTTTGCCGACACAATAACCGCAGCGTTTTGTACCATTGGGGTCATGTGCAACGACTTTTTTGTTCTCATCCATGTTTGCAAATATTACAAATCAGAAGAATTAAAATGCAAACACGTCAGTAAGATACCAGTAGTAAGCGAAGCGGAGATCGCATATTCTAAGGGAGGAAACACAATCAATTTGTAGAAACTAGGTCCAGAGACATTCGCAGAACATTAGCATGTCCCGATAAACGACATTTGTGAAACGTGGGTTGAATATATTTAATAATGATATAATATACAATATAGAACATTCCATTTTCAATGGGATTAAGATTCTAGAGAAGTTACATTTTAATGCATAAATAGGCAAGACCTTTGATGACATTATGCTTGAAAAAAGGTTGGTTTTGTTCCTATGATTATAATTACCCTATGCTATACGATACATCGTCCGAATAGTTAGTTAATCTTGTAATAAAGTTTGTTTATTCTTTGTTAAGAATCGCATTTGATGGTGCATATTGTCAACAATATAAAACATAATGATAAAGGTTCATGCGCTATATTGGTGAGTGAATACGATTATGTCCGACCACAATACCTTACGTTATTGAAATCAAATGTTCAAACTGATTTTGATGGATTGGTGATATATTACATACATACATACATACACCAAAGAAAATAAACCAATATTCATCATGAGGAATATACACCTAAGATACATGCAATGACTGTGGATGTGAAAACCGGACTTAAAATTTCACTCTCCTAAAATGTGTGTCAGGAAACATTGAGGTTTACAAAACTTGTCTCGGATGATTATAGCTATTTACGATACTCATAACTGTGTATTTGCTTCAGTCCGTGTTTTCCTGTCATGAAGATACATGAAGTATAACAGCTTTATGGATATCGTCCTTGAGGGATAGCGTGTTCCATGGCTATACGGGGGAGTTAGCAGCTTACACAATAGCTCGATAACGTGGGTAAACCGACGTTTAGATCGCAGTTTGGTTGTCAGGTGAGATGAATAGTGGCCTACACCTATAGGTGGCGACGGCCTGGATCTCATCTTGTTGTTGAATGTCACGCAATATTTAAACACACAAAAATGATACTGCTCTATTTACCGTTTTCGAGAAAAGCAAGCGATACATTACATACAGTTCTTTCCACGGAAGACAATGTTTTCATTGTTAATAATCACAGAGTACAAGACTAGGGGCCCCTTTCTTTATTTCCTTTCATTTTAGTCTTCTCCTTTACCATTGAATGGCAAGCAATACATTGCACCCGACGAGTTGACATTATCGTAACGACTGGTAAATTAAAATTGACATCAAATTGTTATTACATATTCATAAATGTAAAGATGCAAACACTGTTTGGTGTGAAAATGGAGGTATTCTTTCGTCGAGTAGGGAGGAGTGAGGCACAACAATTTTTTTTCTGGGACGGTTGATTTGTAATAGGGTACTATACGAGAAACCCCATATGTTTTTGCATCCAAAACGTTTTCCGGTGCAAGTTATTCGTACGACGATGAGGAGTGGTGGCGTGAGGCATAACATGTGGTTGTATAATTATAGAGTTTCCCGGGGTGTGGGTGGGGTGGGGGGGGGGGGGGGCTATTTCATTTGGTGGGTGGGGCATACCATGTGCTAGTAGAACCTCAATGTTTCGTGGGGAAGGCAGGGCATACTACACACGTGTTTATTTGTGGATTTCAATATTCCGTAAGGCGGGCAGGGTAATACGACACATGTGTTTGTGGAATATCAATGTTATGCAGGGCGAAAAGGGCAAACAACCCCATGTGTGTTCGTGGAATCTGATTTATTTTAGTGACAGGTAAGGCGGGACACACCACGTGTGTTTGGGAAATCGAAGTGAATCTTGGGATGGGAAGGGCGTGACACGCCGCGTGCGTTTGTGGAATCACAGTGATGTATAGGGTGGGAAGGGCGTGAGGCTCCACGTGTGTTTGTGGAATCACAATAATTCGTGGGGATTGACCGGCATGGGGCTCCACATGTGTTTGTGGAATCACAGTGATCACCACTGTGTAAATGACGAGGCGACGCTGTATATTACGGTTGACCGGGCAATCTCTGAGATTGACCACTGATATATCGATCGTCCTTCGCTGTCCAGTCATCAAGCCTTATCTCCAAACATATCGATTTCGTTCTATCAGTATTCGGTCCACTTATTTAAAACTGACTTGCTTAATACATGCGAATTACAATCACCTGTGACGTTCCACAACAGAACAGACTCAGCATAGCAACCCAACCAAAACTACTGGGTGTACGTTCTTTATAGTTTGTCGTGTTGTAGATTAATACAACAGCTATACATTCTGCTTCGTTATCTTAAACGAAAATAGTAATCTAGTCACTAGAACGTTAACTTGACAATGCTTGTCAATCTTGTTTCCGGATGATATCCAGCGAATCATCATTTTACTTGATCACCGCTTACTTCCTCTAACAGGCCTAGACTATGTTAACATTCTGAAGTCGTTCATAACGTATGCTGTCATCGTTAAAACTCGCGTAGGGAATATACAGCAGGTATGTTGTAGGAAACAATGTGATTGACTGGAAATATATGTTATTTATTAGTCGTTAAAAGGGGAAATATTGTCGCGATTAACTCGATTCCCCATAGGCATAATAACATATAACGATTCTTTATATAACGCGTTGGATTGCTGATGGATGTTTCAAATGTAAACAATCCATGTGCTTTGCTTTGTGAAAAACTGCTGATTTAAACAACGCTTTCCTCTGGAGCTTTGGACCATTAATGACTTGTTACAACGCTTTATTACAATTTAGTGTGCCAATTATAGATTAAGCGTCTAACAGAGTTTATGCATGATAATCGATGTACAGGATATAAATTGGATAATTGTGATAATTTCCCTTTCAGGTACATGTAACTGTATTTAGATCGTTAAGCAATTCATAATCAGTGGCTTTATCTTTCATGCTTAGTCACAGCTTAAACAATACAGTTTTATGGAGTCAGGTGTTCAATTTCTTATCCTCAGGGTCGTAAATTATTTACAAATCTATTCAGATTTAACAATGGATAATGGATATCTGGTATTTTGTTTGCATGACAGTCACACATGCCATTAGCAGCGAGTAAACAATGTGATTGAAATATAAATACAGCGTTGAGGTTCAGGTGTAAAATATCAGCTATATGACGCGTGCGCAAACTCGTCAAACGAAACATGTTCTGGTCCTTTTAAAATATAATGTTTGTCAGTAATAAGTCATGCTCTGATGATGTAGGCGCCTTTGGAAAGTTTTTGAAGAGTTGTAATTATATCGTGACCTTCACATAACTTTGTAAGTATTATATTATATATCATATCACAATATATACGTTTGGTGTTCATCGACATGTGTCAAACAAGTGGTAATGCGTACGTTCCTCTGTTACAGACAGAATATCATCTATAAGCATGGAGCATTTACAGGAGCCGATTTACATTTGCTATCTAAAGGACTACACAAGGTAAGATTTAAACTTTATTCTTATACAACAATGTTAACCGGATTAATTTATCATGTAAACATATACCTCAAAGGCAGATAGATATAGCCAAAAATTATACCAAAGAGTCAATTAATTGGTATACAATGTGATTATTAAGAAATACTAAGCATCTATTGGACATAGCCAAAAAATATATAGATTCGTGTATGTATTGACCGAAACATAAGGTAGAGTCAAATATCTTCAATCAGATTCATCAATTTGGAAATATGTAATATCAAAGTTCTACTTTAAATACAAAGAATGTACGTATTGTTTGTGTTTAAAGTAAAATTTTAATGATACAGTCCAATATATGACAATAATTTATTATAATGAAACAGCATAATTGATATTAGTATGCTCCCAGAAAACAGTTTCATGTCTTTCATCGCTTATTTCAGGGCAAATTAACTTATCTATGATCATAACCGGTTTTCATTTTTGCGTTTCATTAGTGGTTCGATTTTATGTTTCTCCCTGTTTGTTGACGTGATGTCTTTTCCTCCGTATGTGTGTTGACCTTGTATTATGTTTATCCCTGTTTGTTGACGTGATATCTTTTCCTCCGTATGTGTGTTGACCTTGTGTTATGTTTCTCCCTGTTTGTTGACGTGCTATATTTTCCTCCGTATGTGTGTTGACCTTGTGTTATGTTTGTCCCTGTTTGTTGACGTGATGTCTTTTCCTCCGTATGTGTGTTGACCTTGTGTTTTGTTTGTCCCTGTTTGTTGACGTGATATTTTTTCCTCCGTATGTGTGTTGACCTTGTATTATATTTGTCCCTGTTTGTTGACGTGCTATCTTTTCCTCCGTATGTGTGTTGACCTTGTATTATGTTTGTCCCTGTTTGTTGACGTGATATCTTTTCATCCATATGTGTGTTGGCCTTGTGTTATGTTTGTCACTGTTTGTTGACGTGATATCTTTTCCTCCGTATGTGTGTTGGCCTTGTTATGTTTGTCCCTGTTTGTTGACGTGATATATTTTCCTCCGTATGTGTGTTGACCATGTGTTATGGCGATGCTAGTGTATTGTTTCCCCTTTTGTGTTTACGCTGTGATATAATTTGTATTTTTATGTTGAAGCTAAGATAAACGTTGTCCTTGTGTGTTCAAGCTTTGATAAATTTATATTGTGTATATGCTGTACGTTTTATTTCTATAGTATTTGACACATGAAGAAGACTCAACTTCCAAAACGTCGTTAATGTTTAAGATACCTATTTATTTTGTTATCGTCATCCATCATCTTGTATGTGATACTCGCGATATCCGTTTGAATGAAAACCATGTAAACAAAAATTATGCTCGTGTTTAAAGAATTCGTTAAAGTGGCTCAACACACCACGAAAAGATGGATAAAAACCATTGAAATCCCAATGACTTCCTTGTCCGTAGTATAGACATATTCAGTCCGCTGTACTTTTTTCGGAAGAACGTCATGAAAATGGCCGCTCATGACGATGTGTCGAGAAACCTTAAGCTAAATATCCAGGTGTCGTTTGATTTGGTAAACAATAGGTGGGTTTAATATGTCATTTAACTTCGTAGAGTAATTGTCTGGATGCTTCCAATTCCATGAATGATATCCAGCCATGTAAAGGGGACCGCAATTATCACAACACTTTGATGAATACTTGTAATCGCAGCAGTTAGATTCGGCCTAGAAAAGCAATGAATCGGTTAACACAGATGGCGATATGGTTGTCTGAGTGTTTGTCGGGACCCTGGGGGAGTGACCGTACAGCGAGATCAGGATTGATTGTCTAAAGCCTTGTTGGCATAAGACAAATTTCAGGAATGAAAACACGCGTTTTTCCTCAAACATCCTTAATTGTATGACGGTTACATGATTCCTGACTTCAGACGCTTCCAGGCAATTGCCAAAGTCTTTATGAATTTTAATAATTTCTAGAAAACAAGCCCTCCAAAGCTCTGCATTGACTTAATATTAAGTTAGTTAGACGTTTGGCGACTCGGTCAAAGACACAATCACATTTTCCCATTTAAGGAAATCTGTAGTATTGATTAAGTAATGATCTAAGACTACACATTGCGTCCCCTGGTGTCCCATGAATTCATATGATTTGAATCTTTACCAGCTCTTGCGATCACGGGCTCATGATTTACGTGTCTATGCTAGGGCAACCATCTTGCTCTAATTACAATGATGTATTGACACTGTGATTTCCCCTGTATTTGATAGTGATCTCCTTACTGAGCCACGGAGACAGACGGTTGTTCCCGGAAGGACATATGACGTTAATTAAATTGTGCTTAGAAACAGTCCTGATAAGAAACATTTCCCTTATTCTAATATGTTTCTTTTGATGTATAATTTCATATCAAAACATAGATTCCTTCTTCTTTCAATCATAGGAAAAGAGGTGGCCGACTGATATTTAACAAAGCATATGGTAAAAGTGTTTAGAGATATACATGTATCATTAATACAATCAGATGAAAAGTACGTTGAATTTAAGAAATACATTTTACCACGATATTTTATTTTACACCATCTACAAAATTAACGTTAGTGCAGGCAAATTCGCCATGCACCCAAATTCGCCAACCTGTGACGAAAATGCCATATGACGTCATAATACATAAGATGTGACGTAAACAACGTCACCATAATCTTCAACACAGTTTTAAAAAGCCTTCAAATATTTTGACAAAAAGAGGTATAAGAAGGGGAAAGCTTTACTTTTAATCAAAACAGTTATGAAATATCTGGTAACACAACGAATCTTAAAAATTTGGTCTGTGCGACGGACATCTCGTCAACTAAACTCATTAATCTGAGGCCAGTTGGTTGTTATTTAGTGTAAATTTATTACATACACATGAAAATACCCATATCTTAACGCTAATTGCAGTTAATGCAAGTAAATTGCTTTTCTACAAGTGTACTTTGGTACATGTACAATGCACTGACGATCCACTGAGTGTTTATGGAAATGAACTTTGATAATTCGTCAGTTTCAAAATTTCATGCAATGTGTATTTAGAATACAATCAACCAGTATCTTTTTAAACGTATTGTTTGCGTCTTACGTTCAACAATCATACAACACTTAAATTAAAATACCATCTAGAAAGGTTCTAGATTTATATCTGAAAGGAATCTGTTGTCGGCCTGAAAGTACTGCAGTGCAATCGCATGCTGATTGTACGCAGAGACCGACAGTTACCAAAGACTGATTTTTACATGAAAAAGTAAGTAAATTTACAACCCATGGCCGGGCAGTCTTTGTTGAATAAGTTTTTAAGTAAAAAAAAGTCGTTTTTATTTGTCAGATGTTTCCCGTTGACGTGCAAGGGGGGGATCGTTGACCCGATGAAAAATATAATATTGGGCAGCGATTTGGAAGTTTATATTTTTTATTGGGTATCATGTAAATTGAAATAGTCTCAGCCAATACCCGACATCTTTCTCAAACGACATTAATAAGTTTCTTCAAGTTTCCGAAAACTAACTATCACAACTAAGAAAAGCCATGTATTTCAATGTTAATCATTGTTACACACACATTTGGAGCTGTTCGTATCAGTACGGACTGTGTAACATAAACATACAAAATTTTACATTAAAACACTTAGATTACTTGTAAATTAGTTAAATGTTTGAAGGTGGTGAAACTGCCTGCACCTTTGAGAAAAACCACGGAAGGCCTGATGACGTCACAAATGCTGCTGCGTGACGTCATTCAGGCGTGTTAACAACAATGTTTATCTATGGGCATTTCAGTCGAATCTTCTTCTGTATTGGTGCTCGTCGGCATTTTGATACATGCCTATTTGGTCGAATTATTAACAGAAACCCTTACTAATGTGACATATTTGCCTTCACTGAAGTTAGCAGTTTTACACCGATGAAGGTGCTTATTTAACCAATGATAAAAAAATAAAGACATTCCCAAATTTTCTCCGCTAGGAGTTGAACCCTAGAATACAGATTACTAGCACATTGCAAAACCGATCCAAATTTCACGCGTGCTATTCTGCACAAGGCTCTCTCCCCGCTTTTGGGTAACACGCCAATTGCTTGATGAAATGGGGGATACAGTTGTAAAAGGGTGAAAGAATACTTCATCTTCCTTCATACATGCCAATTAAAACTATTTATGATACTTTGGAGGCGTTAAAGTTGACGAATAAATCAAGTACCAAAACATGTTTACCTGATGGTGTTTAAAATATACTAACATACTAGATGTATTTCGTTTCCTATTAGTCAACCTTGATCCATCTGGGGTTACGCTCACTTTCGCTCTATGCACCCTGGTATATGTCATAACAACATTGAAGGCACACGGTTAGCTATTTGATTGGTCTCAGGTAAAAACAAATCCTGAGATGTCCAATTGCTAAGTTGATACATGATACTTGTTTTTTTAATATTACAGAGCAGCGACAATCTACACGAAAGCAAGTCAAATTAACCGTTACGTGACGGCGAGATACTTTTCATATACATCAAAGGATCAGATAAGTATTCTTGTCTCATCCATAAGGTGATACACACTGAAACTAGTTTTTGCCATGACATATTCCTTGGGTACACAAAGCGAAAGAGAGCTTTACTCTTGGAGTATCGAGGATGCCTGTTAATTTAATTAAGTCCTATAACGTTAACAGTACTGAAGATTCCTCTTTTCAACTTCCAATATTTGCATTTTTCTACTGTACACGTGAAGTATACAAAATGTTTAACAAACCGGAATATCTCCCTGTTCGCTGGAACTTTCTATCTGACGTGGGTGTCTGGATCACTTTTGTGACGTCACAAATCAATACTAAAGCAATTATGACGTCATAATAGGCTATAAAGAAAATAACATCCATTAGTCTGACTGGCAGTGATTTTTATAGTAATATCATGTGGTAGATGCATGTTTTGTTTTTGTTTTTGTATTTTGATCGTTATGGAAAACAAAGATAAAAATAAATCCCTGAGACTGAGGTACAGAATAG